TCCAAAAATCCAAAAATTGGTGGCATTATTTTGAAAAAAATCAATACAATATTTCAGTTACTTCAACTGGGGGAAATTCTTTCATTTTATCAATACATCAAAATGTGTTCCTTAAAAAAATTAATTGTCCGCGATAATGCGTGAAATTTCAATTTGTGCATTTGAACATATCGTCGCTACGAAATTTTAGTTCTTAAAATTCAATTAAAATCTTCCAGCGGAAAGTATTGGGTAAAATGATGAAATTATTTTCTATCATCATCCGAAGGTCGTCGGATGGATTACGTCTGAATATTAGCCGTTTGTTTTAAGACGAGCAGCGCGCGACGTGAGGCTCGACGGAAGCCGCAAAGAAAAGACATGGCGCAGATGCAGGATGTGCGACACGTAGGGCTGAAAGGAACTATTTGTTTACATGTCATCAGAGGAAGGGATCATCCAAATCAACATTCGATCACAAGATGCTCTTTCGAGAATTTCATGTTTCTGGGTATTCTGGTCAATCGATTTTGCTGGTGGATGTGGAGCGCATGGTGGGAATAGTGGCAAAGAAAAGTAAGTGTGTAATTTAGTCAAACGTGTAGTATGTTAATTTTATGAGGTCAAAATGGATCGTAGGAAAAAGAATAAAATAATTAACTGTCAAAAAATATTTTTAAAATATTCAAGAAATTTAAAGGAAAACATCCAGAAACGGAGAAACATGTGCCTTCAGAACGTGAAAAGCAGTTTGTATAGACCATACTCTCTGGTCTAGACCGTCTCGACGCTACGCAAGTGCAAGACTCGTCAAAATTAGTTTAATAGGGCCTTTGAAGTAAAATATGTAGCTTTAGCTAAATTCTACTGGGTACACTTAAACACATTCAGTTTCCGACAAAAAAATCTTTGGGTTTTTCTGCTAATTCAGGATGTTTGGTTTCAAAATGCGTCTTTAACTTGTTAACTTCATATTATCAGCAGCTAAAATGATTAAACAAATTACACGTTGCGGACTTTTTCATCATTTACCGTAGTTTTCGTGAAGCCTAGCGACAAATATTTCTCATCATATGTTCTCGTTTTCGGCTTCGGAATGGGACCCTTGCCTCCTTCAGATAATGGTGCACTGGTGTCGTCTTTTCTATCAATAATCAGGAACCGCTTCATTCTCGTGTAAAGTTTGCCTCACGATTTACGAAAGACTAAGGAGTCGTGTTACACAAGACAATGATTTCTCTGTGCGCGATATGTTTAGTTCGCGGAATGCAATAATGTAAGGTGACGAGTTTCAATCACAGAGGGGAGAAGCGCAGCTGAACAACGTTCTGTTTGTTCCGAAGAAAAGTAAAAATTGTATGTTTACTATTGAGAAATAACATTTTCTCCTTTGGTATTTTGCATTAAGCGAAGACGATTTTACGTTTTCAGGGAAATATGCCGTTCCCCCTTTCAAGGCCTTCGTACCCCACAGTTCGAGAACCTATATAGGGATATTGATTACGATGACTATTTTTCAAATATTACTAATCTTCCGATTTTTAAAATTTACTTTTACTCACCTTTAACTATTTATTGTTAAAATGACAGGATGGGATTCTGTAACTCAAGAAAACGTGCGCAGATATTTCCCCCCTACGCCATACAGAGGTGTCGGTTTTTTTTTGTTTTTTTTCCCCCTTTTTCTTTTCTTTTTTTTCTTCAATAAATCCATATAGGGCTATACGTAAACAAGGAAGGAGAAATAGAATCATTGTAGTAAAGAAATTTCAGAACAAGCTTCGTTCACTTATAAAATAAAAACTAAGGAGCGAATGCCGTTTTATTTCACAATTTTCCTTTCTGACGTTTGATCGAATCGATTCTCCTTCTGGCATAAATGATAAATGTTCTCCAGACACCAGTGTCAAAGTCTTATCACATTGTGTGTCAAATGCATGTCAAGAAAGTGAAACACCGATTTCAAGATTACAGATATCAATCACGCAGATCGTCAAAACTAACGATACAGACGGCGATTGATTTTGCTTAAGTTTTCTGAAACTACACAAAATCAAACTATAAATGAATACCAACACATGCAAAGCTAGTGGTGTTAAAACAGTACGTACGGTACTATCTCTCCCGAAGAGAGATATTTATCTTTCTACGTTTAGCAACTCCATTTTTTCGTTAGAAGGTCCCTGCAATCAGAGTTTTCTGCCGAAAATTAGCAATTATTTGCGCAACATTACATAACTTTCTCTCTACTTCGAAGGGACAAAGTAAAAGACAAACGGCTCATGAAATAGTTCTCAAATCACTGAAGAATTTAGATTCAAATCCTCCCCCTCTCACTTCAAAATATATTTTAGGAAAATAACAATATAGTAAATATATTGATGCTGTTTTAGCCTGTTAAATCAAAAAATGTCCTTTTTAATCTGGGTGTTTTGAATGCATAAAAATGTCTCTACGTCAGTACATCTGTGAATAACGCTGGCGGCTAAACCATAGACAGGATGTTCAACAAAATTAATATTCTTCGATCATACTGTCTAATTTTGCGACCTCTTGAAAATGAATCAGATATTTTTATTTTGACTACGTGAAGTCCCAAAGACATTTTCATGTATGAAGATGTTCTCAAAAATGGCTCTATTCCCACTCAAATATAGCAGTTCGCTTAAGAAAATGGCGCAGATCCGATTTTCGATGAATTGTCTGTATTTTCGAAAATTGATTTTTTTTTATTTTTTTCTGCGGCTTCTTGCAACTAGAAACTCATACAATACTGGAGAAAGAATTTTTCCGTCATAAAACTGTTGTACAAAAATATATCTTCAAATATGATCACTTTTTTGAAACCATGAACGTTTCTAAAAACCATGAAATTTTTCCTCATAATATGACGTACAATAAAAGCAAATTTAATAATAAGGTTTTATCAAAAAACAGCATAATTATTTCTTGGATAGTACGAACTACACTTATAAAAATGTTGCCAGTCCGATTTTCGTTGAACTGTGAAATTTCAAAAATTACAAAAGTTACAACTAACGTAAGAAAGTATGAGCTGTTGTAGCACCACGAGTTACTTTCTTGGATATTGGTATTCAGGTGAGTTATCGTCGGCATTTACAATGAAATAATTATATGAGTCGTCTCCTCTCCTCTACTAAAATTATTATTAGACGCCACTCCCACACCGCACTCTTCCGGGGGGGGGGGCACAGTAGACAGCGCACCGCCCCCAGGCCATTACCCTCCTCCACCCCACAGCCGGGCACTTCAGCCCTTTGGCTCGCCCGAACCTGCGTAAGACGTCGCGGCGCCACAGCCGCTTGAGTGAAGTCGGCGCCGTGGCGAATTCATTATTAATTATCAATGTATTAAGTGTAAATGGTGTAGTGTAGTGTTGTGTCGTGCGCTTGTGTGAATGAATGCGTTTGTACATAGAATGTAAGTATGAATGTGAGAGTAAATAAACAAAACGAAACAAAAAGAATCAGTAAGAAGACCAATCCTAAGAACTTTTGATTATTATTTATTTATTTATTTCGTCAAAAACAGTTAAAAAGTGTGTGGGAAAAATGCTATGGGGAGAAGTTAATTTGAAATTACATTAAATAAATAATGTATCGCTTCTCCAGGGCAACTGGAGAGGGGGAAATGAAAAAGAGCTTGCTTAGTCGTTTTGTGGCTTCCATACAGAAGGTCAGAAACGGCTCAACTAACATTTTTATGTTTTCTGTTTCAAAAAATTTCATAATTTTCAAATTCAATTCAAATTCACATTCTTGTAATATTAAATGATTTATCACCCCCTTCTTCTCTTTTCCCTTTCATTTCTTAAAATGTTAATTCTATTTTCTAAAATTTTAAATTATTAGTGATATATTTATTCTAATGTTTGTTGATTCACGGGTTAATGGCCTAAATTGGCCTATTGGCTAATTAGTCGATCAAATTCACATTATGAAATATAGTTGGATAAAATCCAGTGAAGAAAAAGCTTTAAAGCATACTACGGACTTATGTCGGATGAAGTGCACATTAACCAATACGAAGTGTCAATGGCAGGTGAAGAAAATTAGTGTCACGTGCCGGCGATTTGGATGCGAGATTGCATGTTCAATAAAACAAACGGGATCATTTTCACAACACATTTAATGAATATTAATGTGATGAAGATGTGCTTGCAAATGAATGACGAAGTACCTTTTACAAAAATTCTTACAATATATACTTTAGTTCTTGAGTCCTACTTGTCATATTTAATTAATAACAAAAATAAACAATTATTTGCGGCAACGAATTATATGTCGTATTGGTGGCATCTACCCTCTTAGTCGACTTCTTCGTTAAAAGTCTTACCTCATATCTCAGTGGGGAAACGGTACTGACGGGGACCGATTAAGAGACATCCACTAACCTCTTAAGGCACATTCACAATGCAAACGTAAGCATAAGCATAGCACATAGACATTAACATAAGTGACAGACTGAAGTATTCACAATGTCTAACATAAACGTACGCAAAATAACTGTTTCTATTGGCTGTGAGACTATTGGTTGGATATGAGAAACGATTTCACGGTATCGACAGTGTCCATGGCCCATTTGGCAGTAGTTCATCTATCGACTTCGCTCCAATTTCGATTCTCGATTTTGAAATACCGTTCTCTGATTGGTTCATTTCTTATGTCTTACTTAAACATAAGCACAGAAACTTGAAGCTTGTAAGCGTTTAAGTTAACGTCTTACGAGTTATGCTTATGGGAATGAGTCCGGTTATGGACGAGTCGTAACTTTTATGTTAACACTATGCTTATGCTTATGTTTTCATTGTAAATGGGCCTTTACTACTCTTCGGGAGACGACTTGCTTGCCGAGCAGCTGGGTGCCGGCAGTCTGCAGCGCAGTGGGCAGCAGGGGAGACTCCACACGGCGTTAGGTTCGATCGCTGCCGCCCGCGGCGGTGACGCGCGATAACGGCTGCCACCGATCTGCCTCGGTCGTCGCTACCTTGTTCACTCAGGTCAGACATAGGACGACAACGCACAACCCATAGGATCCACAGAGCCGTCGGCGATGCCACGTTGTCGTGGCGATGGGTTGGGTACAAAACCCGAATGAGGTGAGAATAAGTTCTGGTCGGAGAACAATGAACTCAGAAATAGAGTTTTAAGCACAAAACTAGTGCCGAAATATTAGTTGAAATTCCCATGTTGAAGTTGAAGTTAAAATTGAAGTGATATCAAAAGTCGAGGTCGAAATGCCAAGTCGGAGTGGAAGTTAAAATACAAGTTAGTGCAAGCGCAAGACAGAAAGTGATCCCGGGGCCTCGTGCGCAAAAAAAAACGAAAACTTTATGCCCTTTCTCTGATGTGAGGGCCTCATCCTGATTGCTCAAAATCAACTATGGCGAGAGATGGAAGATCGGTACTCAAACCAATGTCCAACCATTTTTTGCCCCCCCCCACACACACACACAAAAAAAAAGTTGCATTTTCGGTCCCGACGGTTGATCCACAGCCGGTGGGTAGCGGTACGCCCATCTGTCTCTTTTCGGTCGGTGGAATGCGATGCTACTACCTAAAAAGGTGTTGTCCGTGGCAAACGCGGCAAAAGGTACCGTTTGCCCGAAATGCACGAGCGTGTCAAAATTGGTAGCTCCTGCAAATTTACGGGGAGGGGGAGAGCAGCGGCCTCCCTTTGGCACAGGTTTCTATAAAAAAAAGTCGCGGGCCTTGAAGAACCAAGCCTTGCAGCCGGTTTCTACGAAATAGTCGATTAATCTGAGTGGGCTTTAACAACATATCTCGCAGCAAAGAAAAATTGTAAAAGACGCATAATCGGAAACAAGCCAACGCTGAATTCACAGATAATTATTAATGGGCATCCTATTCCAAAAACTGAATATCTTTTTGCAAAAATGAACGGTTCCAAAGTGTTTTGTCATTTGGATATTACAGAAGCCAACATACACTTGACAGTGGTCAAGGAATTTCGTCACGTTGAATACGCCAACTCACGGCCTCATTCGTTCAACGAGAGCGGTGTATGGGGCAGCTAACATTCCTTCCAAATGGCAACGCCGTATGGAAATAGTTTTGAAACATCATCCGAATGTCAGAAGTTTCTTTGATAATATCCTGATGTTTGCAGACCGTTTTGAGCAATTGTTATCAACCTTCGAAGCTACTTTGGAACGGATGCGACAACACGGTTTATGCAAAGGTCTCAAGTCTGTTTCAAACCTCTTATTTTTTGTCCCAGCTGCAATGTGTTTCCATTCCTGCCATCTGGAATCCTGTTCCTGCCTACAAGTTCAATTTTTTGACAGATTCTAATTCCAAGTAAAATAATTTATGTCTTCCTACTGAACTTAGTGCATGCTAGGGCCGAACTTTTCTGGTAAGTAGTCTGGATCTTTTAAAATGGAGGCTTCTGTTTCTGGGAAACACACGGCTTCAGTTTTAACACAGTTTTCTCCGTGATTTATTGACCATGTTTTCTGGGGTACAGGTGCTAGTAATTCGTCATTGTGGGACACAGATAGCAAAGCAGAAGAATTATGTGGGTAATTAAACTGGAGAGGCCAAATATCTTTATCATGAGGAAGTAGCAGTCATTAAAATGTTGTGTTGTTCTCGACAACATTGGTACAGCAAATGACAATTATTGGAGTTTTCCACACAGCCACAACCTACAGTTCGCTGGACAGAAGAGACGACTAGTGAGCAGCCTATCGTGTGACCTGATCAAAAAACAATACAGCCAAACTATAAAGAATACGGAAGTTTTATAATTTCATACATTTTTTTCCTTTGACATTTGGGTGTATATCTTCCACAAATATAACACAAGTTATCGTGTCGATTCGCACGCTTTCGATGTAAAATGACGATTTGCCTTTTATCGAACCTATTCATTTCAACAGATCATGTGGCAAATTTTACTTCATAAAACCCACAGAACTGTAATTAACGTTTTAATATATTTGAGGCTCACGCAAACCAGACACGAAATTCACGCCCGTGTACGGTTTCGTATGACACCAACTGACTCTGAGACTACCACCCCTAAAATTGTATACTTTCGATAAGGTAAGGGGCTAAAGTAATTATTTCAATGACGGAGGCGCAGTAGGAAAAATGAAGGTACACATGGCTTGTTACCAAAACACCAACTACGAGCACTAAGACCTACTCGTAATTGAGCGGAACTACCAAACACGAGAATAAAGATGGCAATCTTCGAAAGGAGAGGGTGAAAAAACCCAAATTTTGTTGATATATTATGAAAGTGGCATGGCTGAATTGAACAAATATTTTATTTTTAAATAGATTATATACGTATTGATTCTACATTTCTTACAGGTGCAATGTAATTGCATTAATATAAAGCAAAATGTGGTATGATACGGTTTAAATTTCCGGTGTACTTAAAAAGGTGGTGATATGACGTTTGTATTGTGTTATTCGTAATCTACGTATACAATTGAGTAAGTTGTGCACTCTACCTTCCTGGAGATAAAAATCGTGATCCCTAGTGTATTTATTAAAGTTCGCTATGAGCTAATGCTCGGTGGCAAACATGTTTACAATTAAAATCAGAACAAAAACTATTACAAACATTTACAATTGGAATTACAATTAGATTATTACAATTCTTCACATCGTGGCTTGTTGATTTCAATTGATAATTACAATTAGAATTAGAGGTTGATGTTCTGCTTCTAATTAATTTCTAGTTATCTCTAAACTGGATTTATACGATTTTCGTAATCAGGGAACGGCAATGACTTTTTCTTCAGAAAATCCGCCGTTTTTTCGTGCAGCATTACTTAACTTTCTCTCTTCTACTCATCTTATTACTCAGTATATACGTACGTATAAGAGAAAGTAAAAATACAATCTATCGTGAGTTGCAACCTCTACATGTCCACTGTCTTAATCTCGAGGATCTGCCTTCCTATACCTTTCTCCGTTTTATCTTGTAAGGTCTGATATCTCAGTATTCGGAATCACATTGTTGAATTTGGAAGGCCCTTCCGATACGTTCTTAATCTCTGTTCCTACAAATATTAAGAAAATTGCAGCGACCTTAAAAGTGTGAAATGAAAAGTTATCAATAAAAAGAGCTGAATACTGGGACTGAGAAAGAACAAATAGTTTGCTGCAGCTTGTCCATTACTCTGTCACCTGATTTTGACCATTATTTGCTCGTGACATCATTTGTGGATGCCAAAAATCTTCCAAAAAATACTGGATCATCCGAAATCAAACCATCATGATCAAAGCGACCAAGAAAAAGTGAATTGACTGATAAACTGGAGGTGCTACAACAGCATTTTCGCGATATTGTGAATGACTATGAAATATTATAATATCACCATTTTCTGTCTTACACTTCAACTACCATTTAAAAAATTCTTAAACAAACGAAGCGGGAAAATATTTTTTTAATTGAAATGCTTAAACAAAGCCGTCAATATCACCCATTATCAGTGTGGCGTTGCAACAATGGGTTGCAACAAGCAACAACGACCGCTAATTCGAAATTGAATAGAAAAATATAAAAATGAAATATAATATTTTTATATTCATCAAAATTCCTCGTCTTTTATATGCATTCCTCTCCATTCCCACGTCTTATTACGCAAAGCAAAATCATCTATTCGTTTTCACATTTAACTCCATTAAAGGACGCAATTTAAAAAAAATTTTAAATAATTTCTAAAATATTAATTTTAAAACTTATAACAAAGGCTGGAATGTAAGGAACGATCAAAGAAATATGAAATTCTATCTATCTAATTATCTGTTTTTGATGAACACATTGCATTAAGGGTAAAAATGATATCTTTACAATAATTGTAGTTGTAAGAAGATGCCGAAAAAATATTAGAAAAATCAACACACATGAGACCTGTGCCATTCTCTTAAACGTCCTTCACTCTATCCAATAACAAAGTTTAATAAAAAAACGGAGCATTTTTTTAAAAAATTGAAAATGTTTCAGGGGCTTTATGTAGAGTACCCCCCAAAATAAAAAATCGGTTTCAAATTCAAGGGGCCGCGACACCAGCCAGATCGATTGGGTAGGATCAATTTTGTAGAAAATCTGCTAAACTGCTTAGCCCCTAACATTGTTCACAGACAGACGGATGGATGGACAGACGTTTTACCATCAATCGATTTTTCGGTATCAAAGACTCATAAAACGGATTTTGGTTTCACCTCAGGTTAGAGGAGTTTTTCTAAATTTAGCATCTGTATGTATCCACTCTTCCGTTGCCAGGGCCCTGTAATATGTTTTTCTGACGAAAATTCGGTGTTGTTTCGCGCAACATTACATAATTTTTTTCTCTATCGCGTAAGCGGTAGCGAGAAAGTAAAAATGACAGTAGAAATACGAACCTATTCATTATTGTTTATGGTTACTGATTGTTTTGTTATTCTCTCAATTCACGACTAACAAATATTATTTAAATTATTCAAAAAGTTATGAGACATAAGAAAATGTTGCAGAGGCAGTCCCCCCAAACATCAAAATATCTATTTCAAACTCAAAGGGCCTTAAGTTCATTCAAATCGATCAGAAAATGTCAATTTGTAAGAAAATCAGCTGAATGGTTTAGGCGCTAGCGTTCACCAGACGGACAGACGTTTTGCCGTCAATCAATTTTTCGGTATCAAGTAGCCACAAAGCATAGATTCTGACTAAACGTGTTAGAGAAAGTAATTTAGCATATATGAACAAAAAAGAGCCCGGCGAGGGGTTTTGTGTCGAAAATTCGCATTTTCCGGCGCATGATTACGACACTTGCACCTCTTTCGTACGTAATGGCGAGAAAGTAAAAACTGTGCATGGCCTCATTAAAAGATCCAACTTTGAAGAACATATTTCATTCCGAAATTCCAATATTGTAGTTGTAGAAAATCGCCCTAAAAGTAGAGAAGTGAACGAAAATCGATTTACGTCATATTAATACGCGTACGTTGCTCTATCCGATAACAAAATTTGATTCAAAGATTAGGGAGACCATTTTTGAGGAAAAAAAAACAACAGAAAATTTCTTTCAGGTTTCGTGTAAAGTTCCTAAAATGTCCGTGTCAAATTTAAGGAGCCGTAATATCGGTCAGATCGATCAATAAATATAAATTTTGGCCTGCTTACAGTCTTGTTCACAGACGGACGGACAGACCGTAAACCAATGTTTCGGCTATGTTTCAAAACGAGGATTCTGATTACACGTATTAGCGAAAAGAGTGTACTACCTTCATGAACAAAATGTATCCACTTTTTTGGTATTGGGTACCTACAGCATATTTTTTTCTACCGAAAAATGTTTTTCGCTGCTGTATTACATAGCTTTATATGTACTACATGTATGTAGTATGCGAGAAAGTAATAATGAAAGCGTATTACTTTCTCGATTATCCATCGGAACCGCACTGATAATCTCGACGCGTCACAGTTCCTAACAAAGATATAATTATTCCTAATCTTATCAATCGGCAGTTATCTCTACCAAGGAAACACATACACTGGCATGTACGAACGACAGGAGGATGGTGCCTGAAAATAAAATTCCCAGATGAATTACACCACGTTTTTCGTCGTTTTGGCCACAGTAGGTGTTATTGTGTTTTTCGGTAAGTTGGATAAATGCTTCATTACGTACTTAATTTTTCAATTTGATTTAAATAACAGCAGTAATTTTCAGTGAGTGATGTGTTAATTATGTGAAACAGTTTTACAATACATTGTCAAGATCAAGGAGATTCGAACTGAAGGAATGTACGAAGGGCAGTGTACGAGAAACACAGTATTCAAGCTGGTACTTATATTTCAGTTCATAGACTTCATTATTTTTGTGAAAATAAAAATTAACTGTTAATTTCATTATTGTAATTCAATATACTTATGGCGCTACAGAATAACGCATTTTCTCGTACTAGTTTTCTAATTTCTTTGGTCTCGGCTAGCTTTTCTGTTTTCTCCCACCCTCTTTCCAGCTACCTTCTATTGTCGCCCAAAATACATTTTCACATTTTCTGGAGTTCTGGGTCCTCTAATAGCAGAACGGAAATATGACTATAAGAATATTACAGAAGAGTAAAATCTTGCCATATAACGAAATTTTCGTTGAAAACTTTGGAGCCCTTTCTGAGAAAATGTTAGAGTATTTCTAAGAATGTGCAAATTTGATCTCATTTCTGCAGAAAACTTTCGAGTTTTCAAAAAAAGTCATTTAAAATCAACTGCAGCACTTCTACTCACAAATGCAATAATGTATTCAAAACGCCGGTGATGTAAATATTAACGACGTGAAAGATATTTTTTTAAATGTGAAGTTTGAAAAAAACAAAATAATCTAGCAAAATGGCGTGTGTCGTTTTACACACTGCATTGAGCACTATCTGCATAAAAAGTTTTTTTAAAAATTGAGAAAATCTTGGTTAACATTGCCCAAATTTCACTAAAAATTACGGGAATATTACTTCATTTAAAAACGAAAAAAACACCCATGAAATTACGTAAAATAATACAATTTATTTGAAGAAAAAATATCTTGAATATTGTAGTAGAGAAAAGACGGTGAAAATTTTTCAAACTTTTGAAATTTTCGAAAATTTAAAGTTAACAGTAAAAATCAGACCTATACCACCATCTTCATATGAATATTTAACTCTATTCTCGCAAGAAACTTAAAGAAAAAGTTTGAGCCATTTTTGAAAAAAATTGAAAATATCCCAGTTGCTTCATGTAAAGTACCACCAAAATTTAAAGAATGTTTTTCATAATCGCAACGCTTCGAGTTTGGCCAGATAGAACGGGGAATGTTAATTTAAAAGTCTTACAAATAGTTTAGGCGCTAATGCTGATTACAGACGCCAAAAAGTGTATTTCCGCAGCATTACATAGCTTTCTCTGTAGGTAGTACGTATATGAGAAACTAAAAAGTTTAAATCGGTTTTAAATAACATTTGACGTAACTTCAACAAGTTACATCAGCTGTAACTTCATACGTGTGTACATTCACATTATTTTCTTACCCACCGATTGACCTGGAACCAATGGCGGCTGGTGGGAGGGAGGGGGGTGGACTGCGGAGCTGCAGCCCCCTATTCCTTGTCAGAATTATTTAAATTATTTCATTCTAAAATAAAATATGCGAAATATTATTTCCTTCAATTACATGATCAATGTAGCCCACTGCTGGTGCATGTGTAACTTGCGAAAAGTATCCGCCTTGTTCTGCTGCGATTCTATTTCTCTCCTTGAGACTGCCAATTCCAACTCCATGCAGCGAAGTATGGGCATACTTGATTTCACTTCTCCCCGCTGTTTATGTTTCTCAACATTGGAACTCTAGGGGCTGCAGGAAAGGCAGTCCCGGGCAGTCGCTTCCTCAGTTTTGAACGAAGTTAACATAATTTTTACAGCTCTGGCGGGCGTATGGTATAGTTGAGGAGCTGTATATTGTATTTTTCTGTTTTTTACTTGCTCGCTACGGAGTAGAGAGAAAGTTATGTAATGTTGCGCAAAATAAAGGCCAATTTGTAGCAGAAAAACTCTTATTTCACGTCCTAGTAACGAAATAGTGGATAAATCCAGTTGTTAAATCTAGGAATAAAAATCCTCTAAACGCTGTTTGGCCAGAATCCATGTTTTGTAGGTCCTTGATAACGAAAAAGCGAATGACGGCAAAATGCATCAGTCCGACTGTGAACAACGCTAGTGGCTAAACCGTTCAGCCAATTTTCTTCAAGATTGATCTAACTGATCAATCGATCTAACTGATGTCGCGGCCCCTTCAATTTGAAACCGATATTTTAATTTTTTCGGGGGGGCGTACTTCACATGAAGACCCTGGACATTTTCAATTTTTTTAAATGGGCTCAATCGTTTTTTATTAAATTTCGTTGTTGGATAATATGAAGGACGTTTAAGAGAATGGTGCTGGTTTCATTTTCGTTGAAAACTCTCATTTGGACACTTCCTAGAACTAAAATATTGAAGATAGACATTTTTTTCCTTACTGAAATCTCTTCCTTAAAAATGGATTTTGAAATAATGTCATGTACAATTTTTCGAAAATGTGAGTACTTTTCGCGTAATCTGGCGAGAAAGTAGGTGCTGTGTGGCACCACTAGTTCGTGTTTTGAATGGATACGAATAGTAATTCTGTTTAGTATTTAAAAACTTTACTCTTCAAGAAAAGTGCGATATAAAAGCTCGCGGTAGACCTACACCGGTATTGAAAACCCCCTCCCCCATTAATTAAAGGCACCAACCGCCACTGCCTGGAACCCAAACCGTACCTTAACACAAAAACATTCGAAGTTTATGGCAGACGAGCCGCAATAATCACTAGAACTAATGAATTAATCTTGTTACCAGTTCTGGAACTAAGAAATTTACTCGTTTTCGAACCATTTAAAGGTGGAAATAAATAAATTAGAATTATGTACAATTAGTAGTACATAACGGTTGGTGTTGGCTTTCTGCCATGAGCTCCAAAGAAGCTGAAAGAATACACTACTTGCTCATCCTGAACGTAATCGCAAAATGCTTAGAAAACAAGAAGTGTTGAGACAAAAGGCGTCACGAACGTGGGAGGAGCGAGATAATGAGCTGTCTTCCTTGAATAGACTTCGGTGCGCTTAGAGCGATAATGTATGGCATTGGAGGCATTTGCTGATCTGGAACATGAAGTGCAACCTACGAGCCGTTTGCATATTTTTAGGTATTTTCGGCGCAGCATGGATGTCTGCCGCAGATCAACTCAAGAGGGGCTTAAATACAGTTCCTGTAAAACCTCCAACCCAATCACCTGATGATTTAACAGGTATGATAGAGTGTTAGTCGAGAGGGTACTACAATCCTCTTCAACGAGAATCGAAATGAAGTGTTTTCCGGGGTATGGAAGCTTAAGCAAACTTTATATGGGCTTAGGGTAAGGTACTTTATTCTAGGCTGAGTTTTGAAATGCCTGTAAGAGGCTGTAGGGCCTAGACCTACATTAATTTCTTGAACTTACTAAGTGTGGTCGCGGAGCTTACAGATTTCTTAGTTAAAACCAAAAATAATAATCGGACTTAACCGAAATTCCCGCGTAGTCAGTGGTGTCCAGAAGGCGGGGCAGCTGGGGCAATATGAGCCAGGTCCCGACTTGATTGGGTTTCAATGGGGTTTTTTATTTTCTTTCCTCTTTCTTCAAAAACATTAAAATGGATTACTTTTCAGTTGAATAACCCGGAAGTAAGATTAATCATCAATTTCTAAATAAAAAGTAATTCTTTTAATAATTATATTTTTCATAATTTATAATAAATTGTTAAAAGTATTTAATTGTGGGTATATTTATATTATATTCTATATATATATATATATATATCTATATATAATTTATATATATATAAATATATAAATATAGAATGATAGATAGATAGATAGATAGCTAGATTAGATTAGATAGAATTAGATTATAATTTTAATTCATAAATATTAACACTAAATCAACAAGTAAAAATTAATTTTTAGATTCAGCTTAAAAAAAAGTTTCAGAAAAAATATCAATTAAAGCTGGATGCCTATGACGTTTCGGCCACACCCTCACAATCCCCAAGGAAAGGTCTTGGGGAGTGGCACCCATTTGTTATAATAATAATTATACATGTGTGTGGGGTGTAAGGGGGTGGGGGATTTTTGGTTTAGAAATCAGACGCACCCATGATCTGCTCAGCGTATTGTTTTCCATGGGGTTCCGCTTGTGACAAAATACTAGTTTCAGCAATGTAAAGGTTCATGACATTACGTTATAAGGTCAGAAATTAATCATTACAAAACTAGAACTAATGTAATAAGGTAAATCCTTTGTGATGAATTTATTATTGATGTTATTAGAAACAACAGAGGGCACTCCAATCTCGGCAACCCATGAAATTTCTTCAGCAACTTCAACACAGAGAGATTCCACAAACTCTGAGGTGCATGTTCATGCTTCCACATTCAATTACTCATCAAAAGAAAATTCAGAAGCAACACCAGTTGTAATTTCAGAAGCATCAACAGCTGAAAATCCAGAAGCATCAACAACTGAAAATCCACAAGCAAAAACAGTTGTAAATTCAGAAGCATCAACAGCTGAAAATTCAGAAACATCAACAGCTGAAATTCCAGAAGCATCAACAGCTGAAAATCCAGAAGCAACAACAGTTAAAAATCCAGAAGCGAAAACAGTTGAAAATTCAGAAGCAACAACAGCTAAAAATCCAGAAGTATCAACAGCTGAAAATCCAGAAGCAACAACAGCTAAAAATCCAGAAGCGAAAACAGTTGAAAATTCAGAAGCAACAACTGCTGTTACTTCTGAAATTATCAATGGACCTGGAAGAATGGCACCTGAAGATCTGTCTCCCGCAGATATCTCATGCAGCCTTGAAAAACTCACAGCTGAAAAAGGAGAAATAAAGCCACCCTATGAGAATGAAGATAAATGCCAGCGGTGGCTTGTGGAGTATGAAGAAGGGTACAGTGTGGATATAACTGTTGACAGACTTGACCTTGATGGCGAAACTTCTGATTATGTTTTAATAAGTCCAGGTATGTTTGAATTTCAAATCAAGAAATCAGTACAGATTTTTCTAAATTAAATATTGTGATAATACTATGTAATTTACATTAATGCACAAGATTGTCAATATTTCTTTCAAATGTTTCATTTAGATGAGAATACTACAGGTGATGCAGACAACCCTGTCCTTTCATGGACTTTGACTGGAAAGAAATATTATAAAATACCATACAAGGGAACAGCATACATTCAATTTGTAACACACAAATCAAAAACTAAATCTGAAAAGCCGAAGGGATTCCGTATTATTTTTGAACGCTCAGGTATGGGAAAAGGCTGACAAAACATTGTTGACAATTAAATTGTAGATAATTATTTATTCCTTTCTTGTAGGGGAATTGACAACAACTTCTCCAACCTCAACAGCTGGCCCAATTCCTGATCCAATAGATACAGAAAGTATTAACATTATGGCTGAATTTAGTGATTCAGTAAGTATTTTAAATGTTATTGAAGACATACAGAATACCCCAAATTAACATTCACACAAAGAAATAATAATGATACACAATGTATAAAATATAAATTTAATAATATTAATAAAAGTTTTGCTTTCTTGACGTAGTGATGGACTCTTCGAAGTCCATGGGATATTGAAAAATACAAATTATGTAAAATTCAAACAACGAATATTTTTAAAAAATCAGTATAAAAAATTTTGTAACAAAAAATTTGCCTCTCATTAACATTCACATCCAATTTTTAGTAGAAAAATGTGAAGGTCAATAAGTCAGAGAGTATACTATTGAAGTCAGGAAAAGATTTTTATTTAAAATCACAATGATCTCAGTTTAAAAACTATTTGATTCAAAAAAGTAATATTTTCTTAATGTAAATTTTTATGGATATCACTAACAAATAACCATTTACTATAGTTCACTTAGAACTTAATGTACCAATAGTTACTATTGATTTTTCCTAGAACAGTGCATAACTGCCATTTCAACGTTCCTGTAACATTAATATATCACTATTTTTATCACAAATATGTATTAAACTTGTGGCTGGTTGAGAAAGTTTCTTTATGGAGAAAGTTTAAAAGCTTTTTAAGAGAATGCTTCCTTCTGTAGATTATTATAATGAAATGCACTCTTAGATTTGATTCAATTTCTTTCCTGTGTTTGTCAGTATACAGTTGCAAATGATTCAAACTCGTAATCTATTCTTAAATATTCAAAATTCTATGAAAAGATTTATTTTCGTAAATCATATTCAATATTTTAATATTACTTACAAAAATCCTTTGTCTCAGTTATACGCTCTCTCATAAAAATAAAAAAGTTGGATATCACATCAGTTCTGTTCATCAAGTTGGCTTGCTCCAGTACTATCAGGCTAACTGGTATTTTTTTCATTCCTCTCGGAGTTTTGAAGAACTATAATCGGTTCTCATAATTGTAACTCTTTGTGTATTGTTTTTACTATGTTCAATTGTGTTTGAAATGGTATTTTTTTATATATATTTCCCTTGATATTTTCTGTGTGTGGAGTGTTGCAGCTCAACTTACAAATAGAGGAACAGAACCTCCAAATAAACCTTGACTTTAAAATGATGAATTGAGTTTGGAAAACAATTTCCAAGAAATCAGATAGGCATCAAATCCATCATTATTGTCCTATTTCAATGCTGTTGTTTTTAATTTACATATCTCCAAGCTTTCCTATTTGTATTGCTTTCCACATTTCTTTGGATCACAGATTATTAAGATTATTGTTTCATTTATGAGAGAGCTAAATATACTCCCTTACTTTTTTGAAGAATGAAAAATGTTTATATATTTTTGTTTGGATTAATTAATTACACAATATGGATGCTTTATATATGTCATATAAATTACAATTTTAGTTGGTCAGTAGTTCAAATTAAGAGCTCTATCATTTGTTTTCCTACAAATTAAATTCTGTAAAGAATCAATGTTTATGATAATTCGAAAGATTACATATATTAATTTTCAGGTGCAGGCGCAACTTGTACAATTTAGGCAAGAAATAGCTACACAAGCAAATAAATTCTGTAGCAATATAAATCTTACATTAAATGCTTTTATCAGGTGAGTAATAATACCAATACATTTATTCAATTTACTTCAATTTCTTGAGCCTCAAAACAAACAAAACTTATCTATTTCCTTCATTACTGCCAATAAAGTGTTAAAAGAAGACCTTGAAAATAGCTCTGAATGATTTTCATCAATTTTACAGTTATGAAAATGTATTCTTAACGAATATTCAACCTTGTTTGAGAACGTGGCCAAACAGTGACAAATGCTGGATATTCAAGATGACTCTTCCAGTTGATACCAAAAGTGACACTTATGAGTTGACAAAAGAAAATCTTCAGAAAATGTGGGATGAATGGGATGGCGAAGAACTATTAAAAATTGGAATTAAAGTATATATGATTTCCTTATTTAATTTCAACCTATGAATATACAAAACATTCACAGTTTTGGCAAAAATGTTATTATTTTGCAGAAAACCTATGGACCCAACTACAAAAAGAAAGTGATTATCTGGTTTCTCCTAAGCATAGTATTCATAATTATATTTTCAGTATTCTTATTATTTTTCTGGCAATGGCAACTGAAGTATTCTCTTAAGTAAGTACATCTTTATTCATATTTTTATTCGATGAAATAAAGAAAGCAAGTAACATCATTACTAAGTTGCAGATTTTTGCCTATTGTTTTCCTTCGATGGAAACGTGTAAAATCATTAGTGGTTATTTTTTAATTCAAAATTTTATACAATTTTTTTCTTAAGATTTTCTCCATCTATGTATGAAAGAATGGTATAAAAATTGGTGCAGTTTCATTTTTTGCAAACCATGTATTTTTTTAAAATTGCAAAATTTGTAAAATTTTTTAAAATTTATTTTTCAAAAATTGCCAAATTTGTAAAATTCAAAAGAAGTTAATATTGCAAAAGTACAATATTGAATGGAGAGATTTTCATCTCAAATGAAATGTGTTCTAAAAAATAAGATGTTTAAAAAAAGCCAAGCTTCAACTTTTTAACACAGATAGAACAAGGGACACTTAAAAGAATGTCATATGTGTCATTTTCCTCCTTTCTTTCTACTTGATGACCCAGCTAATATTACTGTAGCATGACTGAAGGTGTTGCTGGAACTTGCGTGTGTAATGTGAAGCAGGTTGTCTAAAAAAACAATTGATACACAATAGAAATTCATGTCACTTCATCATGTGTTCATCTTTTTTAACACATTTTCACAGAAATTCAAAATTAAATATATTTCTCTAAACTTTAATTAGTTACTATATATCATATTCAAGAAATAAATCCAAAAATAAATGTTGATATAATTGAGCACAGACAAAATGAACCTATTCCTTTTCTAACCAATAGCAGTAACTGGTTTTAGCCTCATAATTTTCTTTCATAATGTACTAACTGTTTAAGAAATTTTAACATGAAAATCTCATTTAACTCAGCTCCCTTTGATCAAGAAGTGAGTAACACATTCGGGTCTCTGACAATTTCTCTTTGGGGACGCGCAGAATGATAATAGTAAATGTATGCTACTATAGATCTGTCCTTATGCTTCATACTTCACACAATATCATTTTGACATCAAGTCTTGAAGGAAGACATCATGAAACTGATTTCAAGCTTATAGATCAGTTAAGACCACTCTAGCATATAGCTTCATTAGCAGAAAACTGCAATTTTTAAATTTAGTTGCCAATTGTGGCCTTGATCACTATTTTTAGAAGAGGCATTGATTCTTTACAAATGGCAAAGAATGCATTTGCCTATGTAGATGTATGGCTGAATTCAATTTAATGTAAACATTTATTCTTCAATTGCATCTAAATTAATTCAAACAAATTATCGTTGTATCTTCGCCTCCCATAGTAGTTGTTACATAATTACTTACAGCAGCATAAACAGTCCAATTATACATTTTTTATATCAATTTACAGTAAATATTGACAATATGCAACAAATCTTGTGTAAAATTTCTAATTATAATCTTCATCCAATTCCAAAGCATTTAAAGGGTAAAATTTTTCAGAATTAAAATTAACCTGAATGTTATTGTTACAATTTCACATTCTCTCATGTTATGTAGAAACTAGGGGTGCTACAGAATGGCACAGACTTTTCCATATTAGTTTTTTATTTCCAATGGTCTCAGCTACCTATTCAGACTTGCCACATACTCTTGTCAGCTGCCATCTATCACTGCCCAAAGTACATATTTTTAAATTTCCTTAATTTTTTGGCTTCCTAATAGTAGAATGGAAAAATTATTTCAAGAATATTAAAGAACAGTACAACCTCGGCATAAATAGCAATTTTCTTTGAAAAATTTGGAGCCGTTTTTAATAAAATGGCTTTTAAATGCTACTGTAAATTCGAAATTTGAACCTTTTTTCACAGAAAACGTGAATTTTTGAAAAACTTCATATGACGTCATTTCAAGCACTTCCAGGCACAAATGCAATAGTTTACAAATCGCCGGAAATGTGTATATTAAAAGAGTGAGAAATCTTTTAAAAAAGTTACATTTATGTAATGTTTGAAAAAACAAATTAATACAGCAAAATTAATTCTATTATATCTTAAACAGTGCAATTAGCAGTATCAGTTGGAAAAGTTTGAAGAAAACATTTGGAGATGTTTTTGAGAAAATCACATGTGAGCATTTCTGAAAATGCGAAATTTTGAGATCATTTTAACAGAAACATTGGGAAAACAGAGTTTTTGGGAAACTTTATCTAACATTATTTAAACAACATGTACTCGTAAATACATTTATGTAAAGAAATTTACACTAATGTAAGTATGAATAATGTGAGACGCAATTTAAAAAAAATTAAATTTTTGTAATATTTGAAAAAACAAAAGAATAGAGCAATATGGTGTGTATGCCCTCTTATAGAGTGAATTTAGTACTATCCCTACCAAAAGTTTAAAGAAAAAATTGGATGTATTTTTGAGAAAATCTTGTTTTTGTTATTTTTTAAAATTGCAAATATTGCACATAATATTACGCAAAAACTACTAAAATTTTCAAAAAAAAGTACATGACCTTAATAAAATAATTATGTACAACAAATTTCATTTGAAATCAAAAATATCTATCTTTAATTTTGTATTTGTAGATAGGCACCGAAAAAAATTCATACTTTTGAAATTTTCAATAATGCAGAGTTAACCATGAAAGTCAGATCTATGTCACTTTTATAAGTATATGTTACTCTATTCTTACAAGAAATTGAAAGAAAAAAATTGGAGCCATTTTTTAGAACACTTTGAAAATGTCCTGAAGGTTTCATGTAAAGTATCCTCAAATTTTAAAGAAGGATTTTCAAAATCTTTGACTCAAGCATATGAACAGGGGTTTCTTCAATTTGGAACAAATCTTATGCATGGTTTAGGCGCTAGTAGTGTTCACAGCTGAACGTTTTGAAAAGAATCACAAGTTAGGTATCAGGGGACCCCAACACATGTATTTCCGTTGAGATCTCGAAATCGATTTTTCCGCAGCATTACATAACTTTCTCCATGCTACATATATACATATGTATACGGGAAAGTACAAATGGACAAATATGGAAAATACAAATAACAAAACACATCCATATTAACAATAAATATTATATTTGAATACTCTAGCCTGCCTTCTTTAGGGCTGATATGCTGATGGTCCTTATGATGGCTGTAATGTCTAAAGGAACAGAAAAGAAAGAAGAGAAAAACACCAAGGACACAGCGAGTGTGTTCAAATAACTCCGGTCACTGAAGCCTACAACTTAAATTATATTATGGTGTTATTTTTCAACAGACCTCAAGAAAGTAAAGAACGTGAATCACAAACTATTCAAGTTCCTCCTTTCCTTGAATACATGGATTCAAAATACGATGATCCTGAGTACTTGCCATATACTGACTCAATGTATGATCTGGGTACAGAAACTTCTACTGATGATAGATTTTCATATGGTGCTCTTCCGCCTTACACTAAACGTCCAAGTAATGGTAAGTACTAATTAAGTTGATATTTTGGATCACACTATGCATTTGTTGTGTATCACAATTTTAATTTATTTGTTTTGCAGTGTCCACGTTCCAATTTGGTCGACCGAGTAATGCTGGAATTGACAATACTGGATTTTTGGAAGATGAGGAAGAAGAGTATGAAATTATGAATAGAGCCAGCATCACAAAAGAAATAAAGAAAGTAGACAATGAAAAAGAATATAAATTATCTGAACAAGTAGGTAACTAATAACTTATAATTTATTCATGTATTTCACTTGCCAATGATTAGAAAAATGTATCTGCAGCATGCAATTATTATTTGAAATGAATGCAAAAGTCCACAACACAAAAATTTAATCTGTTTCATAAAACATTATTTCTGCAGAAGTAAATGACAACAGTAGTGAGAAGCCTGTCCGAAAGGAACTTGTGATAATAGTATAGAACAAACGTTTTTTGTATTTTTAAAATGTACTATAATAAAAAAATAAAAAAACACCAATATTTTCACAATTTTGTTAACAAAAACAACATACGAAACTTAATTTGCAATGCTCCAATTTATAAAGCAAACTTACAAGAAGTAGGCCCTTGCTATGAAACGTGGGGAAAAAACATTTTTATTGAACTCTAACATACAGCTGTAGATAATTACTTGAATCTGTAGGTGGTGAGAAAAATATAATGTAAATGTTTGATTTGTTTAACATAATTTAAATATAACAAATATGAAATATTTATAGTCTAAAATTTGGGTTAGGTTTTTCCCAAAAATATGCAATAGGAGAGGGAATGTAAATTCGAAAAATGTGTGCAACACGTTGTAGATGAGTCTGATATATAAAGTATAAATATAAATATTGTTAATATAAAGATATATTTTATTTTACAACTTGTACTGTTTTTATTTCTGCCATTTTAAATATATAGTACGTACAGTAAAAATTAATCATGTTTATCCAATTTCATTGTCCATTGCCTAATAAGAAGAAAAATATCAAATATTTTTTCCAAAATATAATTAAAAAATTTTAAAATATCCTAAACTGTCACCCCCAAATTAACCATTAACAGAGAAGAAACACTAAAATTTATTCTCGCTGTGTCATAGATGTTTTTCTCTTCTTCCTTTTCTTTTCCTTCAGACATTACAGCCATCATAAGGGCCATGTGATACTGGGGTGGAGTGGTCATATCAGGTCATCTATGCACATGTTCTGTCTATTGCACTCTTGTGGTAGAAAGCAAAAGCATTTTAACTTCCAAGAAACCTGAGGTCAGCTTGAAATAATATGCTGCATTCAAACATATGAAACACTTGCAAGTAATACAAACATGTTTCACTACACAAACATTTTTTTGTATATATTTTTGGCTATTTGCTGAATATTTTACATGAAGATCAGCAAGTCTCCTAAAATATCTGTATTGAAATGGGGAATAAGAATATATTGTAAACATTCTGGACTTATACTTTTATTTCTTAGACCAACAATTTTCATTACAACAAATAATTTTAGTTGTTAAAACAGTCTTATGTATTTCTTATACAATGAGATTCAAAAATCTGAATGAATATAAGGACTTCATAATATTTCCAATGACAATAAAAAGTAAAAACACTTGATAAAAGTTTTCTCTCCTTCCATAAGAAGGTGAACTACATAAATAATTAAAACTAATATTAATTCCTACTAATAAATATTATTTAATTAAAGAACAAAATCACAGCTAGGAATGCACTTTCATGAGTACTGAATAATTATTTATATTTTCTGAAGACACTTTTTCATTACCTATGAGGAGTGGATATTGAAGAAAATTAATAACTTTCAATTTATAAATAAATATAGTCTGTGGGTAGGTGGACTTTTCAGATACATTATTCTTAAATATTTTTTCTTCCTAAAATGTTCCTCCAGATGTTATGCTTGATTTCGTTCTCCAAATTGTTCCAAGTTTTTTCTTTTAAAAGAAAAAAAAGTTTAATAAAATACAATATGCATCATACCTGAATGTACAATAGTATATCTCCAATCTAGTACCTAAAATGGCTATGTGAACAATGAATTTTATCATTAAATTTATTTGCAAACTGTTTTTAACAAATTGCTTAAAAATCATTGACTAGAAGCACGTATTTGTAATAAAATATATAAATATTTACTTTATGACAATGTCTTTATTTGTTGATTTATGAAAAATTCTAAATTAAATGCACATTAGCATGAATATTATTACTCTCTTTACACTACTTACACCAAGATAAAATCATTGTGACTCAAAGTAAGCTAAAAAAAAATTGGAGCTACAAATTATAAATTAATCCAAATATTCTTCTAAACATAAACTAATCCACAAACTTGAATGATAATAGAAATTACACATTTGTATTCAACAGATCAAAATAGTTTGAAGAGAACTTCCTTTAAAACAATATGAGAAAGAAACATTAACCACAAAAGTGATGGAGACAGTGAGAGATAATCATGAATCCCCACTAATAAATAGTTTTGAGATATAGCTCATTTCATATAAGCAAACACATGTAAATTAATGGAGAGCTAAGAAAATCAGACAGGTGTTATACTGTGATCTGATGAAAAAATGGAAATATACGAAGAGGTTAAAGTTTCAATGTTCTTAGAGAATAACATAAGATAATAAGTTTCAAATAAAAGCTTGGACAGATACTTCTAAATAGAGTATCCAAATTTGTGAGTTAATCACTCGATACTGAAGAGTTGTTAAAATATCTTTAACTCAATTTTCATCATTTCCGATTGAGGATTTATTGATTCCAGGAATGTAGCTTGTGGGGTCTTTCTTGCAGGCTTGGAGGATTTTTCCCGACTCCAAGGAGATATCTGGTACTAAGAGAAAATGTTGTCTAGGGTTTGATAATACCTGTCCTATTTTTATTTTAGACAGCAGACAGCTAATGTTGCATTTTACAGTTTACATGAAGTCATGTGCGTCTCTACAATGTTTTGGAAAATGGTAGCCTTCCATCTTCAGTGCTATGATATGACCCATAATATATGACATTCAGTAATCTACTTATTTTGATTAAAACCTTTCTTGTATAATAATTTAATTTACATATTTTTATGGATGCTCAATGAAACGTTTCGTCTTGTATTCTTAATAAAACTTATCAGGGAAGCCCCAGTATGTAGTAAGTAACCTCTCCAAGACAGAAACCTATCTTTGCTGGAAAAAGTCTCAGAACAGACAATTTTACAATGCAAATAGTAGGATGTACACTTATCTTGTGAAAAAATTATGGCCAAAATTTGGAAGGAAACAAGTTGGTTAAAAGAAGTAATTTTCGTTACAACCAATGAAATGCTTTTGTAGGTAATGCAGTTTGTATACCGACAGTATTTGTAAAATAGCTTTTCATAAATATTCTTGTAATAGTCCTTATTTTGTTCTAGCAAATAGTAATCTAGGTGCAGTGTAAAGGTTATCTTTTTCTAATAATGAGGCATTACTTAAAGCAACATCGTTTTATTTTGTATAGGGATACAAAATATAAGTCAAAGTCAGATTTTGAGAAAAAGATATGCCACAAATTCTTAACGTTATACGTGACATTTTATAAATTCAGAGAAATCTGTTTATTTACATCAATATTACTGTAAAGTAGTGGTGCTTTGTTACATCATTAAAACCAAGGCATTTCAATCGTTCAATCATTCATGAAAATGGATTGCCACTGAAATATATTACAAAATAAACAAGCTTTTCTCAGAATTTATAAAATGTCACTTATACCGTTCTTGCTTTCACCAATTTAATTGTTCTGCTGGTGTTACTAATTGGAAGTTATATTGTTGTCCAATATTAAATAGTAATAAATAATGTGACAATGTAAAATCTATCAGAATTTATGTGTAGCTAGTTTTTATGCACTTTGAAAATGCACTTTGCAGTAAAACGTCTCATTGTAGCGTAAGTGAAATACCTTTTTCCCTGCAGTTCTTGATTTTTGATTCAAGACATTATTGGACCTAACAAAGCTGGCCAATGAATGTCCTTTTGAGCCTGTGGATGTTTCCTTTGTCCTATAAGATACTAATGGAGAGTATTGTTTGGAACATTTTTTAATGGGAATGGATTAGATGTAGAATTGTTAATTAAATGTTTGTATAAATATAGGAAAACTATTAATACAGAGAATGAAAGAAAGTTGAGAGGTTTATGCAAGAGGTGGACTGATCCTCAATTTGGTTTTCTAGTGTGAGAAGTGCCATTTTGATTTGGTTCTTCAAAAGGTTTGTAACTTGAAATGTTGTTATAGTTCCCACATATTCATTATGTCATCAGCACATGTATCAAAAAGCGATAACTTTCAATGGTCGTGTCATATTTGTATCAAATTATTTATATCCCTCAAAACTTCCTTTTTTTTTCTTTTCTTTTTTAATTCCATTTAGCTGAATTAAATAACTGTGCAGTTGTCAGGTTTGCCCTCTTTTGGGCCCTTCATGTTCAGTCAACAAAGCTTTTTAAGAAATTCTGACGTTTCATTACCAAAGGTAATAAGTAACAAATAAATTTGTTTGATTGAACATCAGTAAAAAGATATAAGTTAAATTATTATACAAGAGAACTTTTAATCAAAATGTATAATTACTGAATGTAATATAATATTTTATGTACCATAAAATTATAGACCTGAGAAATATGGAAAGCTACCAACCTTCTGAAACATTGTGGAGATAAACATGACCTTGTGTAAACTGAAAAATGGAATACAGACTGTCATAAAAATGGAATAAAGCGACAAGTTTTATTTTTCAATATCTGATTAAACATTTTTTAGTTATGACATAATAACAGGAAGAAATTTCTTCAGAGAACATTCTGTCAACAAGAACAACACAAAATTAGAATTAATTTCATTCTCTACCCTGTGCTCTTTCAGTCTCTCACTAAAAATTTCAACTGGCAGAGTACATGACCAGTTCCTGAAATGAATGACACTACAAACAAATTAAAATGTGTTCCTTAATTATTCGAAAAACAAGCAAGAATAATATAAATGCCTATTAATGAAAAATATAATTTACGTTCTGATTTTAATTACAATACAGAAGAAACCTTAAAAAAAATAAAAAGAAAAGAAGAAGAATATTTTTTACTATGATACTGAACATATACAACATTAACTCCTAATGCAGTAAAACACCATTATAAGAAACAACTCTTGTAAGAGTGGTTCATACATCTTCCCCTACACTTACCTTACTTCTACTGTTCACTATTTGACATATGATGTCAAGTTTTTCAGATAAATTTAATTTCTTTTTCCGAGAAATCACATTTGGTGATTTAAAAAGTGTATCTCTAAATTAGATCATCACCTTTAATTGTTCCCTATTCCTTTCAACTGTTCCCCAGTCAACACAGATATCACCATGATGGTAAAAAGCTAAATATAAAGTACATATAATACACTAAGATAAGTATTATGATTTGCAAAATACTGCACAGCTCGCACTATCCCCACTTCCCTAACACAATGAGGACATTAGCATGTATGAGCTCTCAAAGGAGTTCGCAAGCCTCATCACCTTCAATAAAGCAATATACAGGAAATTTTAATTAGCAGAAGATTTTCACCATTCATATGTGAGCTGGGTTATTTCTGGAAGTCCTTGCTACACAGTCTTTGTCAAGGATGCTGAAACAACAGCTGCTTTCTGGCTCATCATGTAGAATGTGGTTTCAACTTGCGACTCATACAAGAAAAGAGAAAATTCCTTTAAAACCAATATTATGCCTATCACAGGTGAAAAACTCATGTAAAGGGGTCTTACATTCAGAATACTCATAATTTTCCCATAGGGACTGGGGACTGACAATACTGTCTTTTACAAGAGTTCTCTTATAATGGGGTTCTACTTTATACTGTATCACATTATTAAGCGTATTTTTCACACAAGGATAAATTACTGCAAACAATAAAGCAGAAAGCAGGTAGAAAGATAATATAACGACAGTAACATTTTGAATTTATAACTTGTACATTTCAACTTACTGAATCTTCTGCAGCAGTGTATTTCTTAGACATTCAATGTATCCTCACTGTCAATTACAGAATTAAGATGTAACTTCCAAATATTCAAATAATTTGACATCATAAAGACAAACAAATCCAGACAAAAATTTCATTAAGCCTAAAATAATAAAATAATCATTCAGAAGGTCTCTATTTCAGATAAAATTGGTTTGGTTGCTTTAGAAATTATCCTTTCTCTTTAACTGTAACACAACAAGTATGGATGCAATGTCTCCCGTAAATTTTAAATTCCTATTAAGATGTATTATCTAACATAAAAAAAAATACAAGATATTTCTAACGAAAGAAAATAAACACACTTATTTTGGATATTTCATAATAAAGAAATCTCACATTCCTAAAGTATATGTACTTTGAAAAGAATGGTCAAAATTCAATAATGAATACCAGAAACATCCATTGAGGACTTCCATAATACACCACTCACTACTAGGTCTTGAAATTCATTTTATGAAACTCATTGGGACAAGTTTTCAATTTTATGACTGAAAACAGAAACAGATACATCTGGTTTTAATTATTAAATGTTTATATAAAGTTAAAAAGTACCTCGAAAGAGAAATTTTGCTTCACTCAAATATGTTGTAATATTACATGAAATATTTTACTCATGGAAGCATTAACTTATTGCTACAGCTATAAATTCTAAAGAAATAGCCTTTTAAATAATCTGATAATCAAGAAATAATAAAATAAGATCAGAAGTCCAATCAGAAATAATAAAATTCTAAACATGAAGTTCGTGATAAAAAGTAACAAAACAGATTCTTCACTGGATTTTCAATGAATCAGCTAGACAGGGGTTTGGCACAATGTAACATAAAACACACGTTCAATATTTGGAATATTCATGGACAACAAGAGAAAGAATACTCTATTCTTTAACTTGAAAGGATAATACATTGTTCAATTTTTGCAATAGCTTAATGAGCAAATGTTTTATGGCTAGTAAACATGGCACCTGTTTCAAATGTATTGTATATACTCGAATAATCCACGCCATCTAATAGCATTCTAATTTTAAGAAGAAGAAGAAGAAGAAGAAGAAAAAAAAAGAAGAAGAAGAAGAAGAAGAAGAAGAAGAAGAAGAAGATGAAGAAAAGAAAAGAAAAAAACCATTTTTTCGCTTTTACCGCAGAAAAAAATAGCTCCATTAATTTATTACACTATTGATGCTGAAACACAATACTGCACCTGCAACCAAAGAGAAATAACTAAGTTTGTGTTTTTGTTGTCCAATTAACATTAGTTTCTTCAAGTCGTGTTTTTTACGCCAATCATGAATGAAACTTTCATCCATATCATCTTCCTTCCTGCTGCACTGTTACCAATTTGTGCTGCTTCCTCTATAATGCGTAAATTTTCTTTTGTGGTGAAAGATCAGGCTTCAAGTTTGCGATATTATTCACGCCTGTTTTTGCCAGCCCTAATTTTGCCAGATGAAAGAGGTGTGTGGGTGTGTGTGGAAGGGAGGATTTCAATGACAGAACGTTTTATATCAAATCTGTAGATTGTTTTGCAACACAAAATAGTTTCTACTACATGGAAGCAAACGTTTCTGATTCCCAGACTTTTCAACAACACTCGTTGCTATTGTTTATTCTTAATTCAATTAATGTTAGTACAGGAGAAGGGTAGATATTCCAGGGCTCAAGAAAACACGTGAGTATAATACCAACCTTGATGTGAATAATACCTGCATCCCAATCTTCAGCTACCAAATTTTGATTGGGGGATTATTCGAGTACATATGATATTTCATTTTTTCTAATATTTACAATACAGTGGTATGTTTTAGTAATATTAAATTTAACTTCATAAAATTTGGAAAAATTAATACTTCTCAAATTTGGAATTATTCTAATTGTACACTTTAATTACTTGATACCATTCTTCAGGTGGCCACATTCCATTTTCAATGACATTAGGAGGACTGCTCTTCCAATCCCAATGGGTAACAGGTGTGAACCAATCTGGGCCATAATTTGCTTCAATATACGATGTTAAATCACAAGGCACTCGCACCTTCAGTTCCAAAAACTCAGTCCAACAAAGATTAAATCGAGGAAAAATGTACCTGCAAGTTATTGTCAAAGATGTTATCGTCCTCTGTACCAAAATTTAATTTGCAATTACTCAACTAATGAAGACAACAAGCAAAAACACAGCAATTTTTATCACATTACTTACTTAAATTTTTTGCCTGATTTTGCTTGAGTGCCACCATTCCACATAGAATTCCCCTCTTCGTAGAAGAAAAACATGTCAAGCTTTAAGTCTCCACTCATAAATGATAACTCCAAACTGTCATTTACCTTACCAAACCAATGTTTCAATGTGAACCCATGATTTATAAATTCTGTGACAATATTTTCTTTATAATCTTTTATGAAGATGCCAACATCAACGTCTCTGCTATATGAAATTATATCACACTGGCGAAAGTATCCTGGAATCCAAAAAAATTTTAAGTCCATACTATAATAATAATAATAATAATAATAATAATAATAATAATAATAATAATAATAATAATAAATGCTGAGATGGCCCCTTGTCCAGAAGCAAAACAAGATACAGATATATTAAGATAATACATAGAAGATAATTATTTCTAGTAGCAAACAGTTGAACATTTAACTTACTTTAATTTAAAATACTTAAACATTTCAAGATTTGTACCGTTTCATTTTTCAAAATAACATTTTCTTGGTATAGTGACTTTACTGCTACAACTTAAAATTAATAATAATAATAATAATAATAATAATAACAATAACAACAATAGGTAACATTACTTTAAAATAATAATAGTAATAATAACAGTACAAGATAACAATTATGGTAACAGCAACATATGATTAAAAAGTATTAGCTTCCAACAGTATTAGTTATTCCTTAATTAAATCTTGAAATGGTGAGGAGGAGGAGGCAGGTTATGGCCAGGTTTTTTCCCTATTTTTACACCTAGTCCTACAGCAACACCTGAAATCACATTGCACATACTAGTCATTGGGGTATTCCTGAATGCTATAAAAAGTTTTTCCCCAAGTGTTTGAGTTTTTTCTTGAAGTTGTACAAGCCTGTCGTGTTCCTCAGATGTATTGGTAATTTTTTGAAGATTTGTGTACCTGAAGAGGATGTACTCTTTTCGTATAATGAGCTTGATTGGTTGATAAAGGTTACACACTTGCCTTGTGTTATAGGGGTGTATGCTTGAGTTAAATTTGTAAAGTGTGTCATTGTTTACTAGATTTTTCTTTACAAACATGATAACTTCATAAATACAAATACAAGGCAGTGGAAGTATGTTAAGTTTTTTGAGTCGGGGTCTGTAGGACTCTGTTCTTTTTGTATTTGTTATTGTTCAAATGATTCTCTTTTATATTTTGAAGGTTTGTTTAGGCTCTGGTGCTTGGCCCCATATTATTATCACCTATTTGAGAATAGAGTGCACATTTGCAAAGTACTCTGTTCGCGTTCTCTCAATGGTACTGTTACTTCTTCTTATTATTATTATCTTCTTCTTCTTATCTTCAAGTATTTAAGCATAATGCCTGTTACACCGCTTAATTTTGGTCCCTCCAGGGCATTCTTGGATGTCCTACATTCCTTTTTCCTCTCGGCTGATAATTTGCCACTTGTTTAGGAATTCTGTCGTTGTTCATTCGCAACATGTGATCTTGCCATGAGAGTCTGTAGTTGGTAACTTTCTCTATACGACTTTCTACATTTAGCTCGTTTCGGATTTGTGTGTTTCTTTGTCTGTCCAACAGGCTATATTTCGCTACCGCTCTAAGGAATCTCATTTCCACTGCCTACAGTCTTGATATATCTTTATTTGTCATTGTCCACACTTCACTCCCATACAAGCAGGTTGGTATTGACATAACTTTGTAAAATTTATTGAGAGTGTCTCTTCTCACTTTTGAACCGAGTGTTCTTCATATAGTTCCATTCATTTGATTGAATCTTTCTATTTTCTTATTTATGTCGATTTCGCCATAGAATGATATGTCTGCTCCCAAGAATGTGAAGTGTTGTATCTGCTCTACTGTTTTATTATTTACTACAATTTTTGAGCGTATCGGGTATCGACCTTGGAATGCCATCACTTTCGTTTTGGTGTCTGATATTTCAAGATTATATTCTGCCATTATCCACTGCAGTTCATATGTTGCTTTTTGTAATATATCTTCTCCTTCTGCTATTATTGCTTGGTCATCTGCAAAAAGTATTGTTCATAGTTTTGATGTAGTTAGGTCTAGGCTATAAAATTTTAATCTGCTCTTCCACTCACGAAGAGCTTCGTCTATGTAGATACCAAACAGTAGCGGTGAAAGACTACAACCTTGTCGTAGGTCTTGGTCCACTTCCGCTTTTCAATCTGGTTTCCAAGTAATACATATTTCAGATTTATTATACATATTTTCAACTACAAGGATAAGATGTTTGGGGATTCCTCTCTTTCTTAATATTTCAAAGAGGGTATGTCTGGCTACAGTGTCAAAAGCTTTCTTGTAATCTACAAACAAGATGTGGGTTTCCTTGTTATATTCTCGTTGAGCTATTTTTCTTACACATTATGTACTGTTTCCAAGCATGGTTTGAACGCATGGTGGAGAAAGCCTTATTATTCATAAGGTTGTTCAGTCAGTTGCACATTTATTAGCTCTGCTTTCCACATGCCATCACTCGCCTTACATAATCTAGCTTTTTCTATTTCTCATTTTACTTACGTGCCTCTTCCAGTTCTTCACCTTTCTATCTGATACTACCGCTCGTCTTAATGAGGCTTTTAATTTTTGTCTTCCTTCCTTATTTCTTATCCACTCGCTTCTTATTTTTCCATAGTTTACTTGTAGTAAGAAAGCCATTCATCCGGCTTAATTATTTGTATATCCTGCTATGTCTTCTCTTGTCTGTTTAAGGTGTCTCATAATTTTATATGCTGTTTTCCCTTGCCGTCCATCGTATATTCATTTTTTCGATATCTACGCCTATCTATTTATCCCTATGAATTCTCGTTAGGGACTTTATTCTCTTGTTCAGGTACTTGAGTGGTTGGAAATTGTGGTGTATTCCTTCTTAGTTTGTTGAGGATTTATTAGATATAGATATCTCAGATATATTTATTTTTTCTCTGTTACGAGCTCTTGTCGATTTCTATCTAATTCCATATTTATTAAGCCTTTTCTTCTTCGTTCTCTTGAAGTAGAGCCTAGTGTTTCATATGCTGTTAAATTATATACTAGCTATCTATTGCAAATTCCTCCACTCTTCTCCCACATCATTACTCAATATCAATTGTTTTATTATGTTGGTCATCAGGCACATTGTTGGTACACAAAAGCCTCTTTCTAGCGTTCAAGTTGATCAGATTCTTTTATTTGACGTAGATATCTTTCCAGGTTTTTGGGTAGCTCACAGGCACAGGTTTGGCCTATGTTATTTACATTCTAAAACATCTCCTTCAATAAATTAATGCTTTTCCCAGAAGGTTACGACGAAGTAGTTCACTCACTATACTTGTAGCTTTCCATAGTAAGCTCTTATCCCTGTAACGAGTTTGCTATTTCTGATCGAGTTTGCACATGATGTTAGTCATAGTAAAGCTGGAAATTCGAACTACAGTGCTGGCACATATGTCATCATTGTGAATAGATGTTGTAGCTTATAGAAAGTGTAATTATTTTCCATATGTTGAAAACATGCAAAATGCGTCTAAGTATTAGCGTCTCAGTGGAAAATGTTTTAATTCCGAGCAGTCATCTTCGTTATTGGGGCCATTAACTCTTATTCCATAGATGCATTACCAATTCTGGCATCTGAGTCTCGCACTAAGACAGATATAAAAGTTTTTACTTATTTCTTCGTTGAGAGTTTTTAGTAGCAGTTGTTACACCTTCTTATTTATATTATATGTCTTTATTATTATTATTCATTACTTACTTATTATTATTATTATTATTAATTATGTATTATTATTACTTTTCCCTGATTATTATTAAGGTTAGAGCTCAAAGTTATTTTGAATTAATATAATTCATATATCATACTGTGTACCCATCAATGATGTTTTTTACTCTCTATATAGCCTAATCACACTTTCAATAATACAATGGCATGCAGCCAGCTCTGATTGGAATATAGTGTCTTATACCTACCTCCCAAACTATCTTTTGTTGTTATTTTTATCTGTTAAGTTTAGTAGAGAGATTCAACATTTTTTATCTCTAATTTCGAGTTGGAGTGTATGGGAAGAAAGGTGGAGGAAGCCCTGCAAGAATAATGGTAAGTAGAAAGTGTCGGACAAGTTCTTTTAGCTTTATTCAAGGCTTACTTTGCTTAGGTCCTCAATTTCTCATGCAATAGTTATTAATCATCATTTGTAGCTTGCATATGTAAAATATGATAATACTCTTCTTAATAGACACGAGACTCTTAGTACTCACAATAGTTTTGGAAAGATTTCTTCACGCCTATAATCAATATAACTTCGAGAAGTTGTCCACATACTCACATCGACTACTAAGTCTCTCTCAATTGGTATATTTGTACATACTCCGAACTTCCGCACAACCGCAATTTTTAATGCAAGTATTTTAAATGTAAGCAAAAAGTTTGGAAACATACTGTACTTGTCGGTATGAATTAAAGCAAACTACATGAATAAGAGATCTATAATACAATTCTAGTGATTTTTTCTCCAGGATAAATTGCACACTACATCAAAATTACAAATACTTTCATAAAGACACGAACTTCTCAATGAGGATTATTTAATTTATTGTGTGCTCATCTTACCTAAACAGTTACCTGCTCAACCTCCAAAACGAACTCCTATCTTATCTAGAATTGTTTTTGTTCTGGACAATAATTTTCCATGCTTTGTGGGCAAATTGAGAGCTTTCATGTGATGTATCTTTGCCATACTTTCGGATGAATGAATTGCTGAGCTTATGACTGCATTCAATAAAATGTGAATGGCAGCATTCTTTCAAAAAACTGCTGTGACATCTTTAGGAATTAACAATTTAAGACATCACATATATCTGATCCACGCCTC